GAGCACAACAGGACATTAAGTGTTTTCTGTCTCCCTCTGTTGTTGATCAGTGGAAATTGCAACATCAGGAAATGTGTTGGATTTGTGGATTGTAAATGTTGGAAGCAAGCTTTTAAAGGTTTAAAGTTATTACACATATTTCACAACTGAACTACTTTCTTTTTATGATACCACAGATCTGGAGAAGATCAAGGCATACATTGACTCCTTCCGGTATGGCGCTCCCCCACACGGCGGCGGAGGCATTGGTAAGGAATTGATGTTTTTAAGGGTATATCCGTATCATATTAGTAGTATATCAAAATATGTTGTATGTGAATATGGCAGACATAGGGATTTGTCAAGTGACTGAACTGTCGTCCTTCTTAGGCCTGGAGAGAGTCTGCATGTTGTACCTTGGTCTTCACAATGTACGTCAGACCTCCATGTTCCCACGTGACCCCAAACGCCTGACCCCTTGAATCCTCCAGCACCTGGGCAAACCCCAGTCATTACTGAACTAACAGACAGATGTGTTAACCCAGAAAAGGAGACGATATAGGAGCTAGTGCCCCCCTATGACTCTGATGTGCCACTACTATTAACCTTGAATATGAAAGAATAAATCAGTTCCAACAGTAGGGGGAACTTTATTGATTGATGTGCATAATTGTCTAACAGCAACAAATAACAGATACATTAAAGAGAAAGAAGAGTTGGCCAGCAATTTAAAGAATTCGCTGGAAACCTGTACAGATTGAATCCCTCTCTTAACCAATGAGGCAGTGTTTGTCTGAGTTCTTTTCTATGGAGATGTTTTAGAGATACTTTAATACAGATAAGTCCCTCATACAACCAGCACAGACATGGACTAATGATTGTGATCTCCAGCATTATGCCTGTATTTACAGGTGTTTTGTAAGGAATTAATAAAGCTAAACACACAATAAAAAAAAAAAAACTAATGATCATTTGTCTTTTTTTTAGTTCCTCTTAGTAAGGATCCCACTGTTTTGCCTGTTAATTCATTAATGATTAAGTTTTACAGAGGTAATATGTCAGACTATGTACATTTTCTCTGGATCTGCTAAAATGCCACTTCCTAAAACTAAAAAGGGAAAATGTTTAATTACAACTATACAGAATGCAAAGCTTTAGTGTCGCTCTCATTCACACTTGGATAAAAATAAAAAGCCTTAAATCCACTGCCCTGCTTCAAGCCATGCAAATCAAAGTGCTGTTAACATAAGAATTTCAACATTGATAGTTGGTAATCATGCATCCTAACTTACACACATGTGCATGTAGCACTATGCAAGCACAAAGTCTTCAACTGACAACATGTTATAACCATGGGCTTATTCATTCACATTTCCACTGACTTGGAGGATGAAGAGGAAGATGTGAACAATGTCAACGTAAAGGGAGAGAGCTCCGTAGATGTACTCCTCAGGGCTGATGGCCAGTTCCCGGTTTCCAATAAGAAGCTGGGTGTTGTATATTAAAAACTAACAGAGAGAGAGAGAGAGGACAAAAGAACCTTCAGTTGTGATAGAAGTAACATGAGTTAGTTTGAGTGCAATGAGGATTTAAAAACCAGATTTTCACATCTGGCAAAACAAACTTTTAGCTTGTTAATTCCAAATCAGAACATCCTACGTTGAGCAGGTTTAATGTTTACCTTCTTACCTCGGCATGTTAGCATGGTAACATCAGTTTTTAATTAATTTGATCATAAGCCTAGGATCAAACTTTGGACAATCTGTCCTCGTGATGGTGCTAGATGAAAAGTTTAGGGATAACCAAAGTTATTACAGTTCATCCTGTATCATTTTATGGCAGTTCATCTAAGACTGTGAAACGTGCACTTCGTGGCACTAGAGGAAAAGTCAATATATCACCTAAATCATTAGGATATGTCATTAAAGACTGAACATCTCTGCAAAATGGCAACCTATGTGGTGATCATTTCGGACACTCCGCTCTCAGACTAAAACATTAATTTACCATAAATTTATATCACATAATTTGATGAGCTGAGCATTAGTTGTCAGCTTGTTTAAAATATGGTCTACAGTCAATAGGTCCAGTGAAAAATTGTGTATTTCAGGCTACTACGTAGAACAATTTTGCCTCTTATTTGACAATAATTTTGTAATGTCAAGTTCAAATGTTCCCCTTAAAGTCATGTAGACTCACCAGAGTGTAAACAATGGCTCCAATTGCAGCGTAGAGCATATGCAGCCAAGGGACCTGTTGAGTGACCACAGAAAGGCCTTTGAATGTGAAATCAGTCACAGAGATACACCCTACTGAGGTGCTACTCCTTACACTGAGAAACACGAGTAGAGAGAATAAATTAAAGGATTTGACCAGAGTCCTCACATATTGAAAGGAGAGGACGATGGCTGTAACCACCCCAATGATCATGAGCAAAACAGCAGCAATACAGAGAAATCCCCCGCAGGAGGTGAAGTCCACCTGTGATGAGAAACAAGGTATTAACAGGATGAAAGTGAAGTTAATAGACTTCAAACCACATGAAAGAGCAGTCGCAGTGATTTGAAAGCAAATCATAAGTAATTTTTTTTAAATAAATGAAGTAGCTGTGTCATGCATCGGCCAAAAATGTAACTTATTCATCTTGACTTGCATCAAACAGAGAAGTTGGATTCACATCTTTTCCTAAAATGTTATAAATATTTAATGGAACTCTGTGTCTCATTGTAATGCAAGACAATGGCGTTCTTTTACACTCACAACAAAGGCATCCTCTGAGAAGCCACAGTGTGCTGAGCTACAGAGCCACACACAGTTTACATCTCCTACCTTGGTTTGGAAGCAGAAGATTGTGACAGCTACACAAACTACTGCTGTCATTCCCATGGCGAGAAACACTGCTTTTGTTTCATAATAGCTGTAAGATACATATAGTGATTAAAACAAAAACATGAAATAATGTCACGGCGTCTAACACATCATTATGCAAATGTATTGTGTTTGTGTAATGCCTGAGTTGGAGCCAGAAAACAAACCTCGAAACAGTTCCAGCCATGTAAGACATAGCAACAGTCTATGAGATAAAACATGAAGACAGTGTGTCACTGAGGGCAAAGTGGGTTCCAGCCTACTTATTTTTATTTATTTATTTATTTATTTTTGTGCCTGCCTTTGTTTTGTTTTACTTCTCAAGTCAACTCAAATATTCTCTAACTCCTGACAATGTTCTTAGTTTTGCCATATAGAGGTGCTGGATCATAACCCACACTGACTTCTGATTCATAACCTAACAAACAATACTTACAAATATTCCCAGCAGTACACAGTTCCATGGAAAACGCCTCCTAAACAATATTTGTGATGAATATATTACCAGTTGTGAATATTTAAACATTAACATTAATAAAACTATTATCTAACTTATTCACACGGGCCAGGGTCATGCTTACCTCGGCTGTTTGCAGCAGATGAGAATGCAGTACACCACAAAATAAACCGCACTACAGAAAGAGAAATCACTCTGACTGGTACTGTATAGAACAGCATGCCATGAGAATAATAGCACAATAAAGGACAATTTCTCTTTTTGTGCTTTTTTTTAATATTTGTTTTGTTTTTAGAGTATAACTCACAAAGATGCCCAGTAGATGCCAGGGTATCTGATGACGAACTGCCTCACTGGCTCACTGTGAAAACACAGATATAAGGGATCACTCAGGAGTATCCTCCAACAAATACATTAAGCAGTTGGATGGAATAATGTACTGGTTTGAATAGTGACACTTACACAAACGTAAAGACAGCGACTACTGAAAAAGTGACGCCAAGCTGTGCTGCTAAAATTAAGTAAACCTGCCCACAAACACAAGACCAAGAAGTTCTGTTGAGCACACAAGAAAACATATCAGTGGGATGTAGATGAGATTAATATGATTGTCACTGGCACGCCGAACAACAAAAACACTCCGTTTAAGGCTCTGTGTGTGGTATGACAAATGGTAAAAATCCTTACCTTTCTGATGAAGGCATGCCGAATAGATGTGCTTTCCCACTGGGAGCTCAGAAAATCCTCCATGTCTCCTGCAGAATTGGGAACAGTGAAGTGGTGATTTATACTAATCTAAATATAATGTGGGCTGTGATTTACTTAAGTCCTGTGTTATTTCCTCAGAACCTGGGTTGGAAACAGGCACTCCAGCAGACAGAGTCGGTATTGTGTTAGGCATCGCAGCTGGAGAAAACATTGGAGTTGCCCACATGCCAGCCTGTGGGTAGACGGCCTCCTGGGCCCAGTAGCCAGGCGGGCCAGGACTGGGGCTGTAAGATGGAGGTGGTGGAAGAGGAGAGCCATGTTGTGGCTGGTGGGGGTAGTTTTCAAACTTAGAATGGTGCAGGGCATCCTCATAAGGTGGTGGCCTGTCTATTTTTGACATCATCATTTTTGCCAGATCACCTTTAGGAGAGAATAGCAGTTGGCCAGTTACATCAGACTTGTACTGCACATGTAATGTATTCGGGGTACCACATATATTGACAAGAGATTATATTACATAAAGGTAAACATACCCATAGCTTGTACTCGTGTCTATTCACTATGTTAAAAAAAGGTTATCAGATCAGTTATTATGTATCCTGCTTTTCACTGTCACACTTAATAAATAGAATCTGGTTATTTTATTACTGTGAAAAAGCTACACACACACACACACTTAAACCCACAATGAAGCAAACCAAAATTTGATATTTATTATCTGCTGGGGAAAAGCCATGTCTGTGCTTGTTACAAATAAATACACCATATAAAACAACGTATTCATAGTAGAAATGTCTAGGAAACAAAAACACAATTCAGACTCTGAATGTTCATTGTTCTAATTTGAAAAAATACTTTCATCATAAACAGAATAAACATAAACAAAAAAAAATGAAAAGAAAGAAATGTACTTACCTGGCGGCTTTAGCCTAAAATGGGAGCTCTGCGCCCTTCAGTCCTAGTTCTCCTTGGAGGTTTTCAGACATGCACCACAGGGGATGTCAGCTTTGTAATAGGATACAGTCACTGAAACTCACACGGTTAAGTGGTGTGTCTGAAAAAACATGGATAGTCTTGGTCATGCTCCTATTCAAAATAATAAAAATATAATAAAACTACAAATTAAAAGTAGAAAATGCTCACAAACTGTTTTGTATATCTACCTGTGTATTAAAACCATTCAGTTAGATAATGGATAACACTACACCCAAGAATGAATTGCTTTGTTTTTTTAAGCAGTCACCCTTAAAACATAGTTTTTATTATATCTTTTGTCTACACTGACCCACGTGTTAAACAGTAGGCCTATAGCCTACAGTGTACTGTGTATTGTCCTGGCTGGATCCCATCCTGACAGCTATCAAACACGATTAATAAATAACTGTGGAGCTATGTCACAGTCAAGCAGTACATCCTGAATTATTTATTTGTTTGTTTATTTATTTATATGTTTGACACAACCACAACGTTTACTTTTCGGGAAGACAGTGTAAAATTTCGGTTAATTAGGCCCTGCTATGATAAGGGAAAAACAAGTGATGCTAAATGTGTAATTATTAAGGGTATTATAACTAGTACTTATATGTAGTAGTAGTAGTAGTAATAGTAGTACAGAGTAGCTAGTGTTGCAGTAATGACACAACCCAGTTTTTAATCATGGATGTAGTATGAAAGCTCCATATTCATAGATATGTGCATAAGGCATCTATTATCTTTAATAATACGATCTATGGTCATGATCCGTTCGTTTTATCTCCTCGCTTCCGGGTTTGGCGTGTCGCTTGACACGTCATTGCGTTGTGCTCAGTGTACTATGGCGCTTCCTGACTTGATGATTACGTTGTTTGCTGCCGCATCCTTCTTCTGTTTCTTATGTTTATGTGTTCGCTACAGACGTTCAGCTCAGTTGTTTTGGGGGAAATTGTTGAGCAGGACAATGGCTCGCACGGAGAAGCCATTGTTCCGAATCGCGTGAGTAAAATATGACCTTCATAATTAAAGGCAGTTTTTTGTTGTCATGGTGGTGATTCTCGATAGCGTACCTTAGCCACATCCAGCCGTTATTATTGAAGGCCGTCCCACCAAATTATAATCAAATATCTGTCAAATTAAAATTGAGTTGGTGATTGTCAAAAATACTACTCATGAAATTTTTGTCTAAGGCCTTTTCTCGGTTGACAATAGACTGATTTATTCGGCATATACAGTGGGTACGGAAAGTATTCAGACCCCCTTAAATTTTTCACTCTTTGTTATATTGCAGCCATATGCTAAAATCATTTAAGTTCATTTTTCCTCATTAATGTACACACAGCACCCCATATTGACAGAAAAACACAGAATTTGACATTTTTGCAGATTTATTAAAAAAGAAAAACTGAAATATCACATGGTCATAAGTATTCAGACCCTTTGCTCAGTATTTAGTAGAAGCAGCCTTTTGAGCTAATCAGCCATGAGTCTTTTTGGGAATGATGCAACAAGTTTTTCACACCTGCATTTGGGGATCCTCTG